GACCCGGCGCCGTACGCCGGCGCCGCGGTCGACGAACTGAATTGGAACATGGAGCAGGAGCCGGGGAAGCGGCGCTACCATCTCATCCGCGCCGGCAGCGCGCGCTTCGACGTGAAGCGGGAGTGCCCGCGCGTCCACGCGGCCGTCGCCCAACTCGTCGGCGGCGACGCGCGCCTCGCGGCGCCGCTCCGCGGCTTCCGCGCCTGCGTGGCGCGCACGACGGGCGGCGAGGAGACCAAGGAGGAGGACCACCGCGATTGGCACGTCGACGGCTGGCACGAGCCGCACTCGCGGCGGTCCGGCGCCGTCGGCCTCGTCGTCTTCTGGCTGCTGACGGACGCGCCGCCCGGCGCCGGCGGCACGGAGTTCGCCCTCGGGTCGCACCGGGCCGTCGCGCGCCTGCTGGAGAAGGGCGACCTGCCGGCGCGCGCGCTCCACGGCTTCGACGCCGTCGGCGACGAGCGCGAGCTCGTCCCCGCGCTCCTGCGCCGCGCGGAGACGCGCTCGCTCGTCGGCGCGGCCGGCGACGTCGCGCTCGCCTCTCCCCTGCTGCTCCACCGCGGCGGCGCGAACGCGCTCCCGGGGCACGCGCGCATCCTCGCGATCTCGTGCTGCCCGGTGGACGAGCTGCGGCCGGGCGGCCGCGCGCCCGTCGAGGCGAGCCTCGCGCCGCGGCGCGCGCGATGCGCCGTGTCTTAGGGGGTATCTCGGAGGGGTATGTCTTTATGGGGCTACGCGGATCTCATTTTTGCATGTCCAAATGTCCTTCCAACCAAAAGGACCCTTGTCAGGAACGAAGTGATCGGGCGCGGGGTTGCCGCAGCGCTTGCAGCGTGCGGCTCGGCCCGACTCGGACTCGGACTCGGACTCGGACTCGGACTCGGACCCATTCCTCGTATCGCAGGTCACCGTCTCCGGCACTTTGTGGGACAGATTCGGCTGGCGGAGCATCCATTGGTAGAGCGCGTGGTGCGGCTCCGCTGGCCGGTAGGTAGGTATACCTTGCCAAAGGAGCCCGCCGCGTGCTGCGACGTGCCGACAATATTGTGGAAACGAAGAACAACCGTGTTTCGGTGGAAACAGACAAATCGAGCGCGTGCGACTTGTGCTGGACGTAGAGTCGCATTCAGGAAACATTTCCCGAAGGAAAAAAGTCCTTTTGGTGCATCGACCGACACCGAAGACCCGGTGTGAAGCTGGGCACAGATCACGGCTCATCATTTTTCGCGCGTGCCTATCAAACCATCGCATGTAGCCATGGCTAATCAGCTCCTCCCTGTCCATCGCATCGCGCTCCTTCGCTTCGTGCTTCCGCTCCTCAATCTCCCGCTTCTTCAGTAGCGACTCGAGCGCGAAGTCGGACAGGAGCAAACCAGGGAAGTCGCGCGCCAGCACGGCCTCAGGGAGGACGTCGACGAAGCTCTCCTCGATCGCCGTGCGGCAAGTGAACATGCGCAGCTCTTTCCCGTAGCGAGCGTCG